AAGACTGATTATAAGTCTAGAGACAACTATTAGTGGCCCCAAAGGCACATCAGTCTTGTCTTTTCTGCCATTCCCTTCACAGAAAGTCACTGCTGGTTTAGCAGCCAAGGAAAGATTAATTTTCTCAATCCAAGGTGGAAATGGCAGTATTTCAGGGGATAGGAGAAGGAGACTATTATCTGATAAGGGAAGAGACTACTTCCTCAGCAGAAATAAACCCTTGAGAATCTCGGGACTCAAAGTTCTCAGCTTCAATAGGGTCCTTTCACATATCCCAATCCCAAATTACAGTAGCCCATTCTTTACCAATTCACAATGGCCTTACTGTCCTTAGAACTTCAATCATTTCCAAATGGAAAAGTGAATTGTTTTTAACCAGAGGAATTTTTTTTTTGATTCTATGACCTTTAGCTTCCAGGATACTCATCCTACCTAGAAAACACAGTCCTACCTTGCTTCCTCTCTACTCTTCAGAGAAGTGAGATTACTAACAATTATTGGGCATGCCCAGGGCAACACAACACACCCATCCTCTAACCCCTCCCCCGACACACACACACACACACACACACAAACAAAATTGTGAAGACTGTCAGGTGATGAATTCATAGACCTACACAAGATCAAGCCAATCAAAATTCCAAAACAGAGAGGGGAGGAACTCTGGAGGGTTCGCTCCCTATTGAGGAAACATTGGTAGTTAATGGCTGTTGGGGAAGGGAGAATCTTTTTTTTTTTTTTGGCAGTGTGGCCACTGGTACGTTGTTCACACCCTTCCACATGTAGGCAGCACTAGTTGCAGTTGGTGGGTTAGGGAGAAGGAGGAGGAAGAAGATGTGGAGTTGGCAGAGTTATGTGTTAGGGGGATCCAGGGAACTTGAGAGTAGACATGGAGGTGGATGTGGTCACATTTCACTACATGCAAGAGTGAAATGATCAAAGAATAAATTAAAAGAATAAAATATAACCAGTTAAAAATGGAGACCTCAATGTTATCTCTCCTGATATAGTATATTTTCCATTTAACATAAGAAATAAAGAGCTGTAACGATGTTTAATTCTGAAAGCTGTAGGGCACCTGGATATTTATGCTTTCCAATTTGTTTCTTCATGTCTTTCTTATAGCAATCAAATTGCATCATGTTTGGAGAAGATAAAGGAGACATAGGATAGGGTTAATCAAGCAAAAGCCCCCAGAATAATTTATTGTTTTCAGTTACATGGTCTCCAAACATCTATTCATTATGATTGACTATAAGAAGTTCATGACCATAAATACGTGTTTTTCAAAAGCATAATTGCTTTGCTTTTGTTTTAACTGGAAGAGTATCATGCTTGTTTGGAAGCATGGTTTAGAAATCTATTTTATATTTAAAGTGGTGCAATTGGATAGGGCTGTTACCATGCTCTTACACATGTATGGAGCCCCTGCCTGTACCATTAAATAAACGTTCCCCAAGAGGAAACCCATTGGCAATAGGAAGAGAATCAGCATAGTAGTTAAGAGTGGGTAGCACGAGCAGGCGGGAGAGCCATCATTTTCTTTTTAATCTTCTTTTATAAGAGCAAAAGGAAAGCCTCGATAGTTTTATAGCACTAACCACATTCAGAGTAGTACAGAGTATTCAAATGGAATGGGAAAGCAAGACCATTTTAATCATAAGAGCTCTGGGAATAGAGTATTTTGCACTTGTAGAAAGCAGAGCTGGATGCTGGGTGTACTGATTAGGTTTGTCAACTTGACACAAAACTAGACATGCCCCAAGAAAAGAGAATTTCAACTGATGGTGTTATCTCCCTCAGCGTGGCCTATGGGCTTGTCTGTACAGCATTTTCTTTGCTTAACAGATGAATGAAGGCTGAGGCCACTGTGGGCAGTGCCATCCCTGGTAGATGGTCCTGGGCTACATAAGGAAGGTAACTGAAAAAGCTCAGAAAAGCAAGCCAGTGAGCATCACTTCTCCAAGGTCCTGCCTTCAGCTTCCTGCCTCATACTCCTTCCTGCCCTGGCTTCCCTGGATGGGAATCCTTTCTTCCCCAAGTTACATTGGTCTGTGTTTCATCATAGCCACAGAAAACAAACTAGGATGGGATAAGTAAGACTATTTTAACCAGAAGAGGTTTGAGTGTGGACTATTTTGTAGCCAGGGAGGGTGGGTTTGGATGCCAGGATTCCATTGCTTGCTCCATATTTCAGCTTACTTCATACTCCTGGGAGCAAGATGAGTACACACGTGTGCTTTTAGTTATTTCTCACCATTAGTCTTTATATCACTTCTTCCATACACAACCACGATGCTGTCAACAGGAATTGTCCCCCACAGGCTCAGAAGTTAAACCCCTAGCCTCCAACTGGTGGCACTGTTTTGGGTTTTTTGGTTTTTGTTTTGTTTTGCTTGTTTGATTTTTAGGTTTTGTTTTGTTTCATTTTGTTTTCTCAGAAACTTTTGGAAGAGAAGATGAGCTGAAGGAAGTGCACCACTTGGGGCATGTCTTTGGCGATTATACCTGGTACCCAGTCCCTTCTCTCTCTGCTTCCTGTGTGTTATGAAGAAATCTTCCTGACATTTTGCCTGTGACTCCACAATAGTCAAGTTTCAATGAAGCAAAGTATCATGAACAGAAGTCTCCAAAACCATGAGGCCAAACAAATTATTCTTCCTTTTATATAGTTCTTGTGGGTGCTATGGTGGTTTAAAAAAAAATGGTCCCCATTGGCTCAGGGAGTGACACTATTAGGACTGTGGCCTTGTTGGAGTAGGTGTGGTTTTTTTGGAGGAAGTGTGACAAAAGGTGGCCTTTGAGGGTCCAGATGTTCTAGCCAAGCACAGTCTCTCTCTCTCTCTCTCTCTCTCTCTCTCTCTCTCTCTCGCTCTCGCTCTCGCTCTCGCTCTCGCTCTCGCTCTCCCTCTCCCTCTCGCTCTCCCTCTCCCTCTCGCTCTCCCTCTCCCTCTCGCTCTCCCTCTCCCTCTCCCTCTCGCTCTCGCTCTCCCTCTCCCTCTCCCTCGCCCTCTCCCTCTCCCTCTCTCTCTCCACCCTACCAGTCTAGGTGTAGAACTCTCAGCTCCTTCTCCACCACCATGTTAGCCCGCATACAACCATGCTTTCTGCCATGATGAATAATGGACTAAACCTCTGAAACAGTAAGCCAGCCCCAGTTAAATGTTTTAATTTAGACGACTTGTTATCGCCATAGTGTCTCTAGCAATAGAAACACAAAGACAGGTGCTGTGATCATGCTATGGAAAGCTCACAAGAGGCTTTGTCTTCAGCAAAGCCTCTGAGACACAAGCATAGGAGAGAATAAGCCTGGATTATAACTATAGGAAGCTGGGTTGGTGCAGAAGCAGACAACATCTATTCATCTTTCTCTTCCTGCTGATATTATTTTCCTAGTCACTGAGACAAAATACCCAACAAAGCAGGAGAGGAGACATTTGTTTCAGCTCACAGCTCAAGGATTAGGGTTCATCATGGTACAAAGGCATGATGGTGAAATTAGTATGGTCTGTGGCGCTATTCAGAAAGCACAGAAAAGGAAATGCCAACCTGTGGCTGCCTTTCTCCCTTTTCTCTTTTTATTCAGTCTGTGTTGTCAGCCCTTTGGCTATTGTAGGCCATGTTCAGGTCAGGTCTAACCCTCAGAGGTAATCCTCAGTTGAAACACCATCAAGGACACCTGGAAAGCTGTGTCTCACTAATGCCCTGAGCATTTCTTACTTCAATGCAGTTGGTAATCAAAATTGAGCCCAATACCCTTCCTCTGCTCCTTAGTCCCTGTCCAGGAGCATCTCCATCATTGCAACATTCAGAACAACTTTGGCTGCTGTTTCTCTGGCAGCACCCACTTGATTTTCTAGACAGGGTCTCTCGTTGGCCTATGGCTTGATAATCAGGCTCAACTGACCCATCTCCACCTCTCCAGGACTGAAATTATTAGCACATGCCGACACAAATGCCTGGGTGTTTCATGTGGAGTCTAGGAACTGACTCAGGTTTTCGTGTTTACAAGGTAAACTCTTTTTTTTTGTGGGGGGGGGGGGTGCAATGAACTTTATTGATGGTATTCAAGAGAGTAGGGCTCCCTAAGCCCCCTCCTGCTATTCTGGGGGTCTGGGATGGAAACTGTGAGGGAGATGCTCAGTGTCAAGGGTTAGTTAGGACAGGGACTGCTCAGCAGCCGACGACCTCTCTCTTGCTGTGTCCTTGCTGGGATGGGTGGTCCAGGGCGGGCTTCTTACTCCTTGGAGGCCATGTAGGCCATGAGGTCCACCACTCTGTTGCTGTAGCCGAATTCATTGTCGTACCAGGAAATGAGCTTTACAAAGTTGGCATTGAGAGAAATGCCAGCCCCAGCATCGAAGGTGGAAGAGTGGGAGTCACTGTTAAAGTCACAGGAGACGACCTGGTCCTCAGTGTAGCCCAGGATGCCCTTTAGTGGGCCCTCGGATGCCTGCTTCACCACCTTCTTGATGTCGTCATACTTGGCAGCTTTCTCCAGGCGGCAAGTCAGATCGACGACGGACACATTGGGGGTAGGAACGCGGAAGGCCATGCCCGTGAGCTTCCCATTCAGCTCTGGGATGACTTTGCCCACAGCCTTGGCAGCGCCAGTGGACGCAGGGATGATGTTCTGGGCAGCGCCACGGCCGTCTCGCCACAGCTTCCCAGAGGGGCCATCCACAGTCTTCTGGGTGGCCGTGATGGCATGGACTGTGGTCATGAGTCCTTCCACGATGCCAAAGTTGTCATGGATGACCTTGGCCAAGGGGGCTAAGCAGTTGGTGGTGCAGGAAGCGTTGCTGACAATCTTGAGGGAATTGTCATATTTGTCATGGTTCACACTCATCACAAACATGGGGGCATCGGCAGAAGGGGCGGAGATGATGACCCTCTTGGCCCCACCCTTCAAGTGGGCCCCAGCCTTCTCCATGGTGGTGAAGACACCAGTAGACTCCACAACATACTCGGCACCGGCATCCCCCCATTTGATGTTGGCTGGATCTCACTCCTGGAAGATGGTGATGGCCTTCCCGTTGATGACAAGCTTCCCATTCTCAGCCTTAACTGTGCCTTTGAACTTGCCATGGGTGGAGTCATACTGGAACATGTAGATCATGTAGTTGAGGTCAATGAAAGGGTCATTGATGGCAACAACATCCACTTTGCCAGAAGTGAAGGCAGCCCTGGTAACCAGGCGTCCAATATGGCCAAATCCGTTCACTCCGACCTTCACCATCGTGTCTCTGGAAAGAGGCTGGCACTGCGCGAAAAGAAGCGGCTGTCTCTAGAACAGGGAGGAGCAGAGAGCCCAAGGTAAACTCTTGACAGATTGAACCATATCCCCTTTGCCTTCTATTGGGCAGATTAAGAGCCCTTGGCTTCCCAGGTGGGACATGGGATTCATGAGAACCGTGTGACAAACAACTTTCTCCTCAGTTTACCTTCACTTTGAACCCATTGAGGAAATGCATGCACGTAACATCATGGACGGACGTGCCAGCCACATGGGATATAGGAGTCTTCTTTCAATTTCCTGGTTCCCAGTGGCTATGCATAACTCTGTCTGAAGTCTGTCATTGCAAAAGCCATTCTAGGGGCCTTCCTTTCCTACCAAACACCTCCTTTTAGCAAGCAGTACTAAAACTTAAGTCTTTGGGGTAAAGCACTACTAAATATTCAAACTAGTCAAAGATATAAAAAAAACCACACAAGTGCATTTGTATAATAAAAATGTACTTGAGAAGCAGCCACAATGTAATCTTCCAGGATAATAGGCCCTCTGTCCTGGCTCCCTATCAGTGACTATCACATCCTGCCACTTTTCAATTTAATTTTTAAGAAGCCAGGACTTTAAGGATATCTAGGTTTGAGATTTTTTCCAAACTGAAAAGCAACTTGATCTCATTGTTCCATTCAATGAATTTTTAAGTGCTTCAGAAGTCCTCAAAAGACATCCGACATGAAAACAGTGTGATTATGGCTGCAATCGTTCTAATGTTCAGACAAATACAAGTACACCTTGAAAACCCTGAGGAAAAGAATCCTCCTTCTCAAGTACACTTTCAGTGCTGTTTCCTATGGTGGGGAACCCTGTTTACGGTACAGCAAAAGCTGCCATGGGTTTGACACCGTTCCTTAGACTAGAAGGATTTCCATGTAGTAAACAGAGTAAAGAGAAATGGACAGAACTACACATCTGTGTGACAATGAACAGGCAAACATGACTTAGTAACAGTGTTCATGGGTGTGGATGTCTAGTAGAAGAACCACTGTGGCAAGCTTAACTCCATTCCACTTAGTACAGGGAGGCAAGGAAAAAAACAGGACTTAAAAAGACGTCAGTATAAAAAGGTATTCTGTATGTGTAGGTGATTTCATGGAGATATGATGTGGGAGTGATTTCTTATTAATAAAGAAACTGCCTAAGCCCCTTGATAGGCCAACCCTTAGGTGGGTGGAGTAAACAGAACAGAATTCTGGGAAAAAGATGCTGAGTCAAGGAGTCGCCATGGTTCTCCCACTCCAGACAGACGCAGGTTAAGATCCTCCCTGGTAAGCCACCTCGTGGGCTACACAGAATATTAGAAATGGGTTAGAACAATATGTAAGAACTATCCAATAAGAGGCTACAGATAACGGGCCAGGCAGTGTTTAAAAAAATACAGTTTCCGTGTAATTATTTCGGGGCATAACCTAGCCATACGGGCGGCTGGGTGCCGGGGACGCAGCCTCGCCACTCCTATCTCAACAGAGATATGTATCGGGAATGAGCATATGCATGTGCACACATAAATCCATGCATGCAGGGTCTTCATAGAGCCCTTGAGTACAGTGTTGTTTTGCCTTTGCGTTTCTCCTTTCAGCGGCTCTGTTCCCAGTTATGAGAAACGAGCTATGTAGAAATTCCAAGGTGAATTTATTAACTCCAGGACAATCGTGTCATGCAGATATAGTTACAGACACTCCTCACAGGTCCCACGACAACACAAATAACTTCCATGGGAAAGAAGGCCATGAGAAACTCTGGCTACGAAATTAAAATTCACACTGCTGTTTAGAGGAAAAACTCTTTCACATTTATACGTGTTTATGTATACACATACACACATTGCTTCTGTCAGAACTACAACTCAAGTTATTAAAATTTAATAAACTATTTGTGGTGTTACAAACTGCCTGCATAGCTTTGTATATGAGAACGTCCTGATATACTGGTCAATTTTCGAAGCTTAAGAACTGCTAACAGTGCTGCGGAGATATTTTTTCTGTGATTTTTTTTTAATGTTAAAATAGCATGGGGGTCAAAGTACATGTGTGTACAGCACACAAATGGGGGTCGGAGAGCAATAACCAGCCCTATATTTTGAACATTTTGGGTAACCATATAATTTCCTAAAAGCCTCAGGATTTTTTAGAATCCTTTAAACATTTTCATGTGTAATTTCCCCCCTGACTTCGCTGGAGACTCTTCCCACCCCTTGTGGTCTTTAGATATTTAATACTAAATAGATAGAAATGAGGGAAATGTCTGCTGTGGAGGAAGAGGTCTAAGGCATTGGAAAGGCCAAAGCTAACATGCTGTTGCAGGGAACATGGATGAGCGCATTTGCAAATGTAAGCTTTTGGGTGTAGCTGTGGTACAAAGCTTGTGCTAGGGACATGGCACAAAGACGGGAACACGATGCTGAAAAAGCAGAGTAACCCACTGCACAGAGCAGTCAGCCTGTCTGAAAAGGCTTTAGAAGAAAGTCATTTCCCCAGCAGCATGGTGGATTTGCTGGAGGCTGAATATGACCACAGACAGAAAGGACCATTTGGTGACAACGATGGAAGCATGGGGAAAAAAAGCAGTCTACAAGAAATCTAGAAAGGAAAGTCTATTAGAGTTTATGATAATTGGGGGAAGATAGCTCTGGAAGCTGAATTGAGAGACTGGGTGTTTGTGATCATTAATTGAGGTACGTGCCTCACCTTGAGTAGGGAAACCATGGAGATGTGACGATTAGGTTTGGGGGATTGGATGGAGAAAATGGGCAAGGGAAAAATGACAAGTGAAGAGTAAAGAAACATGCTTTCTTCTTGTGTGATACAAATACTGTAAATTTCACTCCATTGTATCTTCATTGAGGTGTTGCTATGACAAAATGCCTTACAGAAATCATTTGAAAGGGGAAAGGTTTATTTAGGCTCACTGTTTCAGAGGGATTAGTCCAGCACAGTGAAGAAAGCATGGCAGATAAGAAGACCACACGTCCTACTGGACAAAGAAAGCAGATATTGGCATGCAGCTGGTTTTCTCCTCCTTTTTGATTCTCTCTGATTTGTAGCCCAACTGTGGTGTTGTGCACATTCAGGATAGGTCACACATTTCCTCAAGCCCCACAGATAGATCACAGATGTGCCTGGCCGTCTCCTTTGATGGCAAATCCAGTCACATTGACAGTGAGGATTGACTGTGATGTGGCCAGAGCTGCACAAATCTGTGAAAACACCAGAAACCCCCTGGATTGTGGACATTGTGTGGATAAGTTTCACAGAATATAAATGTGTGAATTCTGTATCCATTTAACTGTTTCAGGGACGGGGTGGAGGCAAAGCTGAGCTCTCTGTAAGACAGGAGAAATCTACTTGTAGAGAACATCCCATGTTACTACCAATCTGTAGAGCTGGGGTTTGCCCCACACGCACATATACTGGAGGACAGTGTTGGAACCATTTGGAGTCCTGGCCTCCAGCTGCTCTTCCCTGCTAGAGATCTTTACTTTCCTTCTGATTTGAGTTACTAAAGGCTGTGTCAAAGTTGTTTACCAGCTCTGCTTCACGAGCACGTGTTGCCTTGGCCTTGAGAATCAGAGGATAAGGTTTTCACCTGTTGGCCCACCTGACTGTTGGGTATATAAGCCCCCATGGTGCTATTGAAGAAGGGGCTTCTTACCAGTGACTAGAGGTCCATGTCTCTGTCTCTCTGTCGGTGTATGTCTTTGTATGTTTCAACCTTCAGCCCCTTGCCTGAATCTTGCGAACTGTATGGTAGTGCATAGAGCACAGACAGGCGTTGTGTGCTGCAGGACAGAGAGAAGCAGAAAGGGAGAGTTTTTATTGATTCTGTTTTTCTGGAAGAACTCTGAGAAACAGATTTTGGAATTTCGAAGAAGAGCATTGGTGCCTTCTATACATTAAAATGAGGTCTGAGGCAGTTGCTCTGGAACTGGGCTGAAGAGAGGCTGAAAGCATTGTGAAGTATCTGGTAGAAAATGGCAAATGGCTTGGCTGAGGGAGATGGTGAAAACGTGGGTGTTGAAGATGCTTCTGCTGAGGCCTCAGAAGGAAATGGGCAGCATGTTACCAGAAATGAGAGGAAAGGAACCAGCCTGTAAAGATAGCCCCAATGGTGCAGCAGTGGCACTTTTATCTAGGGGGTCACCAGCATCTCTCTAATTGGACTTAAAGCCCACTGTATTGGCAGGAATGCTCATCTGGTACCATAAACCTAGATAACTGCCCAGGGTTGGACAAGGCACAGACCCAAAAGGAAAACCTGCTACTGCCAATTTCCCACACCAATATACCTTCTGTTTTCTGAACATCCATCCTTATACTCATAGATAGATAGAGCTCTCACTCCTCACCAAGTTCATTTTTACAGCAGATGGGAACCATGGATAAGTGACTGTGGGGGGCACAAGTCCAACTTGTACATCTTCAGTGCAGCCCCTACACCTAACGCTCAGGGAACCTCACAGAAGACTGAGCAGACTGATGGTAAGAACAGGAAACCCACGATGTCTAATATGAAATGGTGTCATCTAAGCGTGACGTGGAAGCCGCCCCCATGAGTCCTCAACAAGACAGTGACCAAAGCAGGACCCGCATAATGGCAGCACCAGATGGCATGCCAACATGGATGGGTCAATTTCAGAAGGAAGGCCTCACCTAGATAAGAGGCTACAGGCAATCAACGGCTGCACGAGAGGAAGAATCTGGTTCCTCCACGGCCAAGCCACCGTATAGGTTCAAACCGATGAGTCCTAAACAGATATACATACAGACAACGCTAAATGGACTCAGCAGGTTATGTGTGTGTGCACGCGTATATGTATGTTTGTGTATATATTTAACAATAACAAAAAGAGGCCATGGATTTGAGAGAGTGGAAGGAACATGGGATGAGTTCGGGGTGGAAGTGACATAGAGTATTAATATGTTACATTCTGAAAAAAATAAAAAAAATTAGATAAAGATAATAAACTATTGAAGAAAAGCGGGAGTGGCAGAAGGTGACTGACTGTAACCTCAT